TGACAGAGTTCAAAGCGGTAACTGCTGACATTCCTGCGGAGGGAGCGGCGGCTGGGACAGCTGCGTCTTCTCCGAAACAGAAAAATACACATTAGAGTAAAATTTACGGTACCGTCATCCGGGGAAGGGATTGGCCCGGCACCGGAGGGAAACGGCCCGAGCGGGGATTTTTAGGGGTGTTCGGCGACCCCGTGGTAAGAATCGCGCCCCTGGCAACAGACCAGGGACCAATGAAGTTTCAGGGGACGATGTTGTAGTTGTTGTTTGTTAAGTTATGGCAACGAAACACTTGGGCGATCTGCCTACGAGGGATGCCTTCCGGGAGATCTTTTTAACGGAAACTGGCCCTTATTTAGGCATTACAGACCTGGAGAAAATCCGGAAAACGCCACGTAACCAGCCCGTCCGAGCGAGGCGCGAACACATGACCGAACTCCCAGTGTACAGGGTACGAAGACCGCTTGTCCATTGGTGGGCCTTCAGGGGACCATCGTTCGACCAACCACAACCTCGGGATTTCGGGTGAAAATGAGATAAAAGCCCGAGATTCCAAGAGCATGGGGAGGTTGGGAGACGAACAGTCCGTGCGAATCAGCTAAGCATTGTCCGAGTGAAGGTTAACGGATTTATTCTCGAAACAAACAAAAATCATTAAAAAGGCTTTTCAAAATATTTATTTTTTATTGATTATTATCTGTTGTTTTCCTTATAAATTTGTCAAGAGATAATTGAATTGTATTCTACTTTTCTTCATAAAGAGTTCTGTAACATGCTGTGTCTTTTTCTATTTCCCTTCGTACATGAGATATACGCTCTCCATTGGAATCACATTCTTCCATGATGATCAAAAGTTTGTCAAGATGCATGAAGTCTAACTCAAGACGTCCCTGCTCAAGATTAAACCTGTAACGCGTGATTAATGACGTATTTACTCGTTATTAGCATTTACAATTTTTTATAAAAATAATCCGTACCGTCAAATTTAAGCTTTTTGCCGATTTATAATATTAAATAACTTATATTTTAAACTAAAATACAACAGGTGCCGCCACAATTTTAAACGTTGCCGAGAAGTCGAGTAACTCTTTGCTGGTTTATCTCTTAAATGATCGATTTTTATAAATATAAATTTTATTTTTGTGTTACATAAATAGGTTTTCAGTGCGCCCTTAAATAGCGTTGAGTGGTTGCAAATTAAAATTATGGCAATGACACACCTGTTATCAGCAGCTAGCCCTTGAACGATGCCAGCCAACTATTTTATAGATCGAAGTTTAAGAGGCAGGACCAACATAAGCAAAGTTTTTGTATTATGTTTTAACAAGTTAATGCGATAGATGTAATCAGAGATAAATTTAAATACTGTACTTTATATTGATAATTCATTATATATTTAATATATCAAACGAATTTTAATATACCATATCTATTCGCAAATACACGGTTGAACATTACAATAAGTATTTGTACAATCGTTAATGTAAATACGGATATTTCACAAAATATAAATTTATAGCTGCTTAAAATAATAAAGTACAGAAAACATTCAACACTTACAAGCAATTTTGAAAACAAAGTCATCTCAATAGTAAAACATTTTGATTCCATTTATAGTAAAAGTTATTTAGGCTACCTATATAAAATTAAATATTTTCTGTAAGTAAAAATAACTTTAAGTGTACTTTCTTAATTAAAAAACATTCTAGGTATTCCATTTGTTTAAAAAACAAACGCTAAAGGGGTTCGCTAAGAGGGAAGACGGCCCTCTCTACACCCGGGCTTCACACAAGCTATTGATGGCCCTATATATGATGTTTCCCAACCAGTCTCGCTACACACAAGCATGACGTGAGTGTGCCTCAGGAAATATTAATAATTTTTGGAATTTTGAATAAGCACTGTTTTAAAGTTTCATTTATCTTTCATCTTTTTACCGCCTGCCGACCGTTTACAGGCGTTCTGGCTTACCAGCTCCAAGACCGATACTAGGTCTTCAAACAATGATACAAATAGGCTTCATTTTTATAGTAAATTTGTAAAGTTATAATATTTTTGTCTTCGTAAGTTTAACTTTCTTATTATCAACACACTCTTAAATCAATCGTAATTTATTTTAAAAATTATAATGTGTTGCAGGAATCTTATTAAATTCAAAGTGTATCGTTAATCAAAAAAGTTGGGAAACACGGTGTAGAGTATATAAACATAACACTGACTTGCTAAAATAATCTAAATATGGAGTACTATAAATTAACAAAACTTATACTACTCTATATTTAAATTACTTTTTCCGATTTTAGTATTTATTAACTTTTATTACAAAGTTGGGTCCGCCTTTTTTAAATTTATTAATATGTGATAAATTAATAAATATAAAAATTAATGATGCAACGAACATTCGTTTACTATTCGGCCGAATACCGAATACCTAGAAAAGGAGTAAGAAATAACAAAAACACTGTAAATTAATCATTTTAGTAACGTTTATTAATGCTGAACATACATTTGAAGTTCGAGAAAGCACAATTTTTTTCTTATTTATGTAAAAGATCAATGGAAAAGTAATAACTACTGGTAAGTTATTTTTTTAAGAGATCAAAAAAAGTAACAAATCAAATGAACACTACCGACTTATTATGTAGTTTAGTCATCTATATATTCGTATTTAAAAGAACAAGTCCTGATAGGATAATTAACGCAGAGCCATAACTACTGGTGCTGGAAACTTAAAAATTTAAGGGTGTTCCTTTTGTAAAGTTTAGGCGTGCTAAGAAAAGATTTTACGAAATTCAACCCTAAAGGAGTGAAAAGGGTAAAAAATTTGTATGAAAAATTTTACTGCGTGGGCATATTAGATCGAAACTTAGGTCATAAAATGTGAAAAAAATAATTAATGAACTGTAAAGCGGTTTTATGAAATCATCCCTTATTATAAACTTGAAAATTAAATTAACTTTTTTGTTTCATTGTAGAAAATTATTTATCATAACTGAAGATCCAGACAGCTTGGTAGCCAGAACGGCCCCAAGCTTTCGCCCGTGCACGCTGACTTTCATTACAAGCATTTAGCTTTTCGAAATCAATGAGAACAATTCTTTGGCATTGACGGCTGCGAATTTCGCGTCAATAAGCTGCCTCGACTTGTTCGATTATGTTATCAATCTCAATTTCATATTTATTTTCACATTTTCACTTCGCGACCTTTCTCTGTTCTTTTTCCGTTATTTACACGTGTAGGTCATTTCATTGTTATCCACATTTGATATCATCATTTATCACATACTGCCATGACGCTCATGTCTGTCCGCTACAACTGTCCAGAATTAACACGATTGGCGAAACGTAGTGACAGGTGAGAGCAGGGTGCGCGATCCTTCCAATAATGCGGTTTGCATGACAATTTTCGTACGTGCATTAATCAAGCCGAATAGTTTGGCCGAATATTCGGCTATTCGGCCACGCTCCTTGCCGAATATACTATTCGTTGCTTCACTAATAACAATACATTTACATTTCATTATAATACTATTTTTTTAATGATTAACAATTCAAAACTGTTCTTTTCACGTCTCTTACTATTCTTTTTAAACATATAGCCTATGAATCAGTGACTCAGTAAGTCAGGGCAAGTAATTTTATATACAGGTAACCTCCGTATAACACGGAAGTAATTACGTTCCAAAAAATTGCCGTGTTATGCGAATCCGTGTTATACGAAACCAAGAACTAGTGCAAAAAGGGGCCTTAGGTTCCAAAAATTAAAAAACATGCTGTTAAATCCTTATTTAAATCGGATTTATTGTTCATTTTTTCATAGGTAAAATACTTAATTATTATTTAAGTAAATATTTTACCAGAGGATTATTCATCCTATATGATCTCAGCATGAGCATCATCAACTGGTAACAGTTTTTGGGTGTGTTCGTTAATAGCGGTCGCTCTACAACGAGAGTGCGCTGCTGTTTGTATGCATTTAGGAATGGTAAAATTAAGATGGCGGCACCCGCACTATCGATAATATCGCGATGGAGGAATCTATAATTCTAAAATGAGCTTTCAGAGACAAAAAAAGGGTCCCAATTGTAAAATTTAATTATTAAATAGATTATTTGTTGAAAGAGCATTCAAAGTAACCATGAAAACAATTAGAATACTCGCGCGGAGTTACGCGTTCGTATAAAGAAACGCACCCTTTATTACATTTCATGTTGTACGAGGATTTTACTCAATTCCTGAACAGTGTTAGAGTGAACCCGTGCTATNATTAAAGACAAAGTCGCTCTAAAAATATATATTTCAGACGATTACCATTTTTACAGAGTGTTCTAGAACAAAGTACAGACAGCTGGACCTTCCTTTTTAGGCTACACAACTGTCTATATTTAAAAAGTTCCTTAAAAGCACAAAAAAACCAATAAATATTAAGAAAATTCTTCTTTAATATTGGAATGGTAAATCTTACGACGTCTTCTTAGTTCATCCTTGTCCATTTCTTTCTTTCTTTCCTATTAATATGGAGACTTTAGCCTACTGGCTTTTTCTCCGAATCACATCCCTGTCCATTTGGGTTTCTGGCTCCTTTTATCTACTGAGAATTAGCGCTGACGAATGTAGATTACGCCGAGATATCCCTCTGGTGACGAATTTTAGCGATATATTTGAATTTTCGTCGGATTAATAAATGGATGAAATTCGTCAGTGCTAATTCTCAGTAGATAAAAGGAGCCAGAAACCCAAATGGACAAGGAAGAACTAACAAGACGTCGTAAGATTTACCATTCCAATTTTAAAGAAGAATTTTCCTAATATTTATTGGTTTTTTTGTGTTTTTAAGGAACTTTTTAAATATAGGCAGTTGTGTAGCCTAAAAAGGAAGGTTCAGCTGTCTGTACTTTGTTCTAGAACACACTGTAAAAATGGTAATCGTCTGAAATATATATTTTTAGAGCGACTTTGTCTTTAATCTGTAAAAAAAATAATTTATTCATCCAACNTATAATTCCTTTTAAACACATGCCCTATATAAGAGTATTAATTTTTTTAAATTAATAATTATTAAAAAGCCATTATCATAAATTTATAAAACGAAAAACAGTGATTTATGATTTATAATTCATCACGAAATTCTTCTTTTCCTGAATGCGGCGATTTTAATGCTCCAATGAATAAAATATTGTTATATTTATGATCAACAACAAAGTATAAGAAAGGATGATCTGCTTTGAATTCCGGTATTAATTCAAGGCTCCTTTTTTGAATCCGAACTGCGGTTGCTGCTGCTGCTTCTGTTCCTTCTTCATTCACATCTATAAATGCTTTATGTATCACCTCGTCAACATATAAATCTCTATTATTATTGATACCAGACAAATCTGCTTTGCTTGGATCAAATAAATCTGTTATACCCATTTTCGACAGTACAGCTTTTAAATTTATTGCACTTTCCAACTTAAATTTCGGTAATAAGACCTGTAATTTTCGTACGTCGCTTTTAACTTCATTGCATAAACCATTGAATTTATTTGAACTCAGTTTATTCTCAATTTCTTTTAGTCCATCTATTTCAGATGGAAGANAATTCTACTTTTCCTGAATGTGGCGATTTTAATGCTCCAATGAATAAAATATTGTTATATTTATGATCAACAACAAAGTATACGAAAGGATGATCTGCTTTGAATTCCTTTATTATTTCAGCGCTTTTTTTTTTAATCCGAACTGTGGTTGCTGCTGCTGCCTCTGTTCCTTCTTCATTCACATCTATAAATGCTTTATGTATCATTTCGTCAACATATAAATCTCTATTACTATTGATACCAGACAAATCTGCTTTGCTTGGATCAAATAAATCTGTTATACCCAATTTTGATAGTACAGCTTTTAAATTTATAGTACTTTCCAATTTAAATTTCGGTAACCAGACACGTACATCGTCTTCATAACGTTTAACTTCATTGCATAATCTATTGAATTTATTTGAACTCAGTTTATTCTCAATTTCTTTTAGACCATTTATTTCAGATGGAAGAATGATTATCATACTTAATCCATCTTTCTCATAAGGTAACTGAAGTACTTTAGCTTGTAATTTCTCATCTTCCAGGTATCCAAATTTTCCTTTTTGATACATCATATCAGTATTAACAGTCTCGTCCTTCGTTACATAAAAAGGATGTTTTTCGGTTAAAGATGTGGAGAATTTCTTAGCCCAAAATCCTTTGAAATAAATAGCACTAATCAGTATAAGACGGGTTGATGGTTCAACATCACCAAGCAAATCGTTAATTTTATTTTCTGTTACTGACGATACCCATGAATTTATGCTATTTTTTGCATTAATCGAATCATTTATGAAGTCGACAATTCCACAATCACTTCGAAATATTTTTTTAAGACTGGACGTAAAATCTGATTCAATGGAATAATCTTTCTGCAAGTACATTCGATTCGCAATTTTTACAGTATCGGAATTTTCACAAAAATGCGAAATAATTTCAGAATATTTAGAAAATGTTTCTTCATTATTTTCCATAATTAGAACCTTCTTCATTTGTTCAGCAGTATTACTCCTCCCTCCCATTAAAGTCATACTCAAGGCAACAGTTACACTTAGAGGTGAAATTAATACATTTCCTTCTTCTGAACTTACAATTGTTTTATATAATTCAAATGTAAACTGCATAGTTGGATTCAAACTTGATTCTTCGCTTATATTCACTTCTGAAAAAATAAGAACATTATTTTAAGACAGTTTTAATTATCAAACTATGTTTATTTGGAGAACAACAACTTTTGATAATCTACACAATTAATTATAACATTATTACATTAAAATTTTTAGACTACAGTAATTTCTTAATTTAAAAATTCTTATTAATTATTTCCACATTTCACAATTACTTTTAAAAAGTGATAATATTTTTATCAAGTACGGTCACTTTTTTAAAAGTAATAATTCAAAGTATAATGGGAAATACTGTACAAAAAAATATTCAAATTCTTTTTTAAAAAATTAAACTATAGTCCCTCCCACATTCAAAATGAAGCAGTCTGTACAGTACACATACTGTAGTCTACATATGGCGGAGAACAAACAAAAAAAAAAAAAAAGGTTTTTGTTACATATGGGAAAATAACATATAGAAGTCTACTTGAAACTTATTGAATACAATCTCTTATTGAACTATCTAGTTGAAAAATAAAACTGCAAACATTTGTTGCAACAATTTTCAGAATAGAAAAAGATATATGTCATGTGTAAATGTCAATGGATCAGAAGTGAGTTCTTTGTAAAATTTGTTTGAATGATGTCTCACGTTTCCGAAAGAATTCGAAAATTATGATACCTCGTAACTGCTTAACTGTGGTGTTTCAGTAACGTTTAGTATAGATAAATTAATTCCATTCTAAATGTGGGACACTATTTCTAGTATATTATTTATTTTACGGCCAAAACCCGAAATCGGCCAAAATGGAAAGTGTCAGGCCAAATCGGGAAATGCCAATGTCCGATCTTTTCTTGATTTTGTGATTTGGCCGGCCAGTTTGCAGGGCAGAGAAACAATAAAAAAATACAACTGTCTTTGGATGCGGAGAAATCGACTTCCGAAAATCGGCAACACTGTATATGTAGTCAGTCAGTTACTTTTTTTACTTGGCGGGGAGTCAGGGTAGTGACTCCTGATGGACTATATATTAGTGATGCCACGAATAGTGATTTTGCCGAATACCGAATACCGAACATTCGGCTACGCTCTTGGCCGAAGCGCCGAATATTCGGCGGCCGAATGTTCGGCAAAATATGTGTACATTTTGCGGGTGATATGTTACGACCTGATACATTGCGGTGGGTGCGGTAGCGACACTGCGGGCACATTTGTTTTATTTGCGAGTAGATCATGTCACAACATGCATTATTTGTTCATTGTTACATCAAATTGCGTTACTAATTATTACTAAAAAATATCACTGTATCACTTTATATGAAAACTGTTCGCCTAGATCGGACGGCAGACCTTTACAAGTGGTGGTCAGCAAACGCAAAACAGTATCCAAGCCTGACAGAATTCGCTAAGATTTATCTATCGTCTCCCGGCAGTAGTGTATATAGTGAGAGGCTATTTTCAGAAGCAGGTATAGTTTATGAGGAAAAGCGCAATCGTTTGCTATCAACAAATGCTGAAAAAATTGTTTTCATTCATTACAACTTACCACTGATAGATTTTAAGTATTAAATGTAATAATTTATGATTAAAATAAATACGTTTTTGAGTAATATGTGCGGTTTTTTTTCATGATTTGGTATTCGGTATTCGGCTGAATGTTGCATACTATTCGGCCGAATACCGAATATTAAAAAAAGTAGCCGAATAGGCCGAATACCGAATAGTAGCCGAATATTCGTGGCATCTCTACTATATATTCATGCCGTTTTTCTCCTGAAAACTTTGTAGATTTCTATCCTTTCCAGGTTTTTCGGCCAAAACAGTTTGTCACACGGTGTACTAGTCACATACGACAAGGTCTTCTGTTCCATTTATAGTGAGATAGTCCGATGTAGTAAGCACAGAATTGTTTTTAGAAGAAACCCAACGATTTTCTAACTACTTAAAAATGAAAACGACCCCACTGAGAGACAATGATGCCTCGGCAAAAACATCTGAAGAGGATAGGAATCTACAAAGCCTTCCTGAGAGAGTTAACTTCAAGGAGACTATTTCGTCTGCCTGGAGAGCATTATTTGAGCTCGCCTAATTCAATGCATCATATATGACATGCACAACTTTGCGCGTTCGATTAGTTCCCCTTTGGATTTTCTTGGATCTGCTACAGATGATATAAGAATGGAAACAAATTTGTTAGTACAGTAAAATTATGTGATAAATTCTAACATTTCCAAGTGTGTTGTAAGTTACGTGAAGTCAAACGACCTGAAAAAGTAGAGAATCAAATACAGGAAACTCATGCTAATAAGCCTCTCAATTTTCCATTATATGTTCCAGTCTAGTTGCCTATATTCTCCTGTGTCCATGAAAACATTGGTCATGTCATACAACCACATTTTCCTGTTTACTTAGAATTCATTTCTGTGTACAGTATTACATTTCATCGTGCTCTATTATTTACACACTTGCAACAAAAAAAGAATCGGCATTAAAGGGTGTAGGTCACTTTATTCATTGTCTTTAAGCTTATACAATCTCAGCAATCCAGCACCTCTGTTTAAGGAATAGATAGATTAGCCAGAGTCTACCGTAATACTAACGGCCCCCGGATGATCTAATTACTTCATATACGATAGCGTTACCAAGAGATCTAAAAGTGCTCTCTTAAGAAGACTTAAATGCAGATAGAAGGGGCCAATACAGAAGTGGACAAAGTGAGCAGTTACCCAGGAAGGCAGATAATGGTAATAATTAATCTATTAATAAGAATTTATATAATAAAAATGTAGAATAGCAAAGCAAATAATTGAATATAAACTTACCAGCGATGTTTCCTCTTATCGATACTAAATAAAACAGAAAGATAACTTTATACACGTTCATAAAGTACACGCCTACTAATTCGCATTGTTGTTGTAATCTGTTGCCAGGATACTACTTGTTGCCAGCAAATAGGATGTTGCAACGTAACAATAAAACCAATTTTCTCAGAAAAGTCGTTTTACGATTGATTATCGTGAGTGGCAAAATAAATAACTAAATTAAAAAATTAGTTTACGAAAATTTCTCTGCATATAAATTAATTCTCAGTGACAAACGTTGCAACTTTTCTATTGAAAATTTGGAAAAAGTGCTTGTAATATATTATGCTTTTATTATGAAGCTAACTATGGGAAACAGCGAATAAAAATTGCAAAGATAATTGTTTGTCTACTTTTGTGTTTGCATCATTATGAATACGTGCATTTTTGTTTGAAACACATATGTTAAATAAAAAATTCATCGTTCTGATAAGTAGGTTAATTGTTCATTGTGCAAATTTTGACCGCCTATTTTTTGTTTATAAAGCCTAAACGACGCAATTTAAGAGCTTATTTTAAGCGTCTAAAACGCCACTTTTAAGGGCCTATAAGTCCGCTGTCTAGTTTTAAGGTACAGTACTGGAAAATACAATTTCAGTTAACAACTCACTTGTCAGTTGAATAAAAAGAGTTTGATAACGATTCCTTTATAAAAGCTACGCATTCGCTATATGTTCGAGATTCTGTGCATTTTTTGAGCACAATAAGTATTTTTAACATTTTCCACTTTGCGGGTACTAAAGAGGGTCTTTTAGTAAGCCCATTATGCAGTGGCGTAGCGTGGGTGTCAGCAGCCCGGGGCGGAGGAAAATTTCGCTGCCCCCTTATTAAGGTATCTCAATTTAAAAGACTAAAATTCAGTTTCGTCTCAGAATAGGTAATGAAAAATTCCGTGCTCATTTCAATCGGTCTGAATGGTAGGTACAACAAAAATATGAAATGAAATGGTTCAAATTTTTACAAGATATTATTATTATTTATTGTGAAATTTTGCCGCCGCCTAAAGGTGCCGCCCCCACTACGCTACGCCACAGCCATTATGGGTTCACCAGGCTCAAAATAAGACGATCGGATAGTGAAGGATGAGACGCGACATATTCGGACGGACCAACTACGAAAAACTCCTGGCTATTCCACCAGTCCGGATTCAATACCGGTCCACCAGAGTGATAGGTTTTTTCCCGCCGTGTGAGCACTAACAGGTCTCTTATAGCAAGCCCATTATGAGTTCGCCAGGCCCACAATGGGGCTGCCGGGTGGTGAGTACGAGGCCCGACATATCCGAACGGACCACCCCCCGAAAAATTCCTGAATCCGAATAAGTCGAAAAATTTCAACTCTTTTGGATTCGATCCCGTGACCTCCAGAGCGGTAGGCTGTCCCTTGACCGTCTCGGCCATCCGGCCGTCTCTCTGTAAAAAAATTCTCTTGCCTACTATTTATCAACTGCTTTCGGAATTTAAATTACGTTAAAGTAAAATCGCAACGAATAAAACAAAATGCTTTTGTCTTTTTTTTTTTGATAGCGTGAAATCGAAATCGGACAACTTTAGTACAATCCAAATTCAAGATTTGATATATTAAATTTTCATATTTTAAAGCAAACTTCTTAAAAGTCTCATTCATTATTAAATTTATCCGGAAAATACATGCATTCATACAGACTAGACCCCAACTCATTGTATACGCAGTTTCGTTTTATTTTCGTAAACTAATTTTTTAATTTAGTTATTCATTTTGCTACTCACGATAATCAATCGTAAAACGACTTTTCTGAGAAAATTGGTTTTATTGTTACGTTGCAACATCCTATTTGTTGGCAACACGGAGTATCCCGGCAACAGATTATAACAACAACGCGAATTAGTAGGCGTGTACTTTATGAACGTGTATAAAGTTATCTTTCTGTTTTATTTAGTATCGATAAGAGGAAACATCGCTAGTAAGTTTATATTCAATTATTTGCTTGATTAAAGTCCAGATACGTAGACTGTCATGGCGTCCCATCTCTGATTCCAGCAAACAAAAGAAAGGAAACAGTGGGGAGGCACGTTCTAACCTAACCTAACCTATTCTAATAAATTACCATAATTATTACCAATCAAATTATTAGAATAGGTTAGGTTAGAACGTGCGTCCCCACTGTTTGCTGGAATCAGACATGAGCCGCCATGACAGTCTACGTATCTGGACTTTAACCTTTGCGTTGCTATTCTACATTTTTTATTATATAAATTCTTAATAATAATTTAATTATTACCATTATCTGCCTTCCTGGGTAACTGCTCACTTTGTCCACTTCTGTATTGGCCACGTCTATCTGCATTTAAGTCTTCTGAAGAGAGCACTTTTAGATCTCTTGGTAACGCTATCGTATATGAAGTAATTAGATCATCCGGGGACCGTTAGTATTACGGTAGACTCTGGCTAATCTATCTATTCCTTACACAGAGGTGCTGGATTGCTGAGATTGTATAAGCTTAAAGGCAATGAATAAAGTGACCTGCACCCTTTAATACCGATTTTTTTTTGTTGAAAGTGTGTAAATAATAGAGCACGATGAAATGTAATACTGTACACAGAAATGAATTTTAAGTAAACAGGAAAATGTGGTGTATGACATGACCAATGTTTTCACGGACACAGGAGAATATAGGCAACCAGATTGGAACATATAATGAAAAATTGAGAGGCTTATTAGCATGAGTCTCCTGTATTTGATTCTCTACTTTTTCAGGTCGTTTGACTCCATGTAACTTACAACACACTTGGAAATGTTAGAATTTATCACATAATTTTACTGTACTAACAAATTTGTTTCCATTCTTATATCATCAGTAGCAGATCCAAGAAAATCCAAAGGGGAACAAACTTAAAACTTAAAAATATGTGAATAATTTATAACATCCTTTTATTAACATGTGCATGACAATGGTATTGAGGATGATCTGATAAACCATATTTTGAAGTTCAAACAAATAAATTTTAATTTTTTTGTTTTAGTAGGGAGAACTTAAGCCCCTGCAATTTCCTTGGATCCACCAATGTATTTCAAATAATAAATATCAGCTCTATCAAATAATAAATACAGTACACTCATATTACTTTCACTTCCCAGAAATACAGTAGGTGGCCTAGCTTAAAAGAAGTGAACATCCTTGCTCCAAAATTTCTGAATGCTTTCTAATTGAACAGTATAAAAAGAAATAAGTACAGTACTGCCTTAAAGGTTGCACGATCTTCAATATTTGCCTTCTTTGATCTTCAATCACTTCTTGCCTTGTCCACTTGAGATGAGAAGGCATACATATGATTTGTGCTATTTGTTCTTTTATTTTAATACCTTTTTAATATGTAATTGCTTCTTGTGTATTCAATGGAATCAGTTATGATTCTGTGAGAAACCTTTCGACTACATAAATGTTAAACATTGACCAATGAAAGTTTCATCAAATCTCCACAACATATACCATAGTGTATAGCCCTGCTGTCGTGTTCTTTGGGTGATTATATACCATAAGAAAAAAGATAGATTTTTATAAATGTTTGTTTGCTCCCATATGCTGACTGCTGCTCTACAAATATCACAACATAATGCTCATCTAAATGGACTGCTCTACTATCTAGTGCACTGTTAACAGGAATTCCGCTAATATAAAATATGGGAGAAAATCAGGGACTGAGAGACCTTTAAGCAAATTGCTCTCATAACCAATGCTCTATTAAGTGGGCTTGACTGTAGTTGGAAATACTAGTCATTAAGTTATAATGAAAATGAATTTAATTCAATGTTCCTCACAAAAGTAATCACATGTTCATTCACATTTGTTTAAGAAAATAAAAATTATGTTATGATCAATTACTGTAACTATTGAAATTGCATTAGTAAGGAACAATAGTGTATGACAGGCTACAAATCAGTTTATCAAAATTTTAGAAATGAGCAGAAATAAGGAGTAGAAGCAATAATTGAATACAGAAATTTCATTTAAAAATGATCAAATATATTTCTAAAAATTCTGAACCAATTGAAAGATGATATAGCACTTTTCTTTCTATCATAAAAAACATAAAATATTCAAATCATTACATAATTTACAGTATAATGGAAGATCACCTAAACTTTGATTTAGTAAAACAAACCATCCTTAAAGCTATTAAGTTTAATTCTAATTTATTTACTACATAAATGTGTATTGTTGATTAAAATAAATTGGGAAAAGATTTCATACCAAGAGAATTAGAAGAATTATAAGAAAGGAAGAGTATATTGGAAGAGATATTAGAAAAGTATCTAATCTGTCTAATAAGTCTGTCTAATAAAGAAAAAGAGATAAATTTTGCAAATGAATATAAAATAATGGTAGAATATTTCTGAAGTTGATTGATTTTTAGCAATGAAAATGGATTGAAGATATTTGGCTCTGAGAAATGAAATGTGGTGTGGAGGAAACTTAGAATTGAGATAAAAATAAAATATGTAGGACCTAAGTTAAATATGGTAGAGACCAGTTTTGGTTCTGGGATGCATACTTGTATCTGGCATTGAATATTTAGTATTTATTGATGGAAATATTTATTAAAGGTTATATTAGACATTGATAGAAATTATTTGTTTGAAAGTGCTAACAAATGGCTCTTGGTAGAAAGTTTTTCTGGCATGACAATAATTTAAATCATACTGTTTGGGAAACTAGGTGTTTGTTCTATAATGTCTGATTATATTACACCAAAGAATCATCAGATTTAATCCAATAGAAGCATTTATGAGCTCATTTGAAATGTAGTAGGACGACTTATGAAATATATTTCTGGTGAAGATCTTTAAAGGATTTTAAAAATGGAAGAAAACATTTCAAATGGAAATTTGTAAAATATATAATCTTCAAAGATTTCAGACCATTATTACATCTAATAATTATTCCACTAGGTATTATATTTTAAGTATATCAATCAATTAATGTAGTAATTTTATTGAAAGATTACTGGTACTGTAATACTTTTGAGAGTACAAATAAGTACAGATTCTAGAAAACAATTTTGTATTTAATATATAATATAACTGTCATAATCAAAAATTATATTCAAAATTATATAATATAAATTTTATTTAAAACTTTTTAAACATCTGCTGTTTTCTTTGAAATATAAATAATTATAGAAAAAAGTGTTTTTTGTACAAATAGTTTTTTACAGATTGTGTAATTAGTTTTTGTATTTTTCCTGTTATGA